GTTGCCAGCATGGAATGTCGTTATATAAAGTAAAATTTGTGACATAAAACGGAGTTTTAGCTTCAGTTCTAAAAGGTTTTGCTTTAAAAACTAACGTTAACTTATATCGGTCTTTTTGGCTGCGTAAGGATGTCTATGAGGTGTATGTTAGCCTCATACACAGTCTTTTAATTCTAAATAAATTAAATTCTAATTTTTACCAAACAGAGATAAAGATATCCCATCATTTTGTGAATGGCGGTGCAAATAAGTACAGGAAGAATATATGTTAATTGACATAAATTAGACGAAGCGCATCAGTGATGGACATATCTAAGGAAATTTTTGCCTTTTTTGGCTTATGCTATCGTAATTATTATAGTTATAAACTTCTCCCTTTGACATTTAGAATCTCTAGGGTCTTGTTTTTCTATTTAACACTTTAAATTGAAAATAAAAATATTCAGTTTGCAGATATAATCTCCATTTAGGAAAAAACACATTTTTGCACTAGTGATGGACACCTCAAAATCCAATTTTCCTAGTAATGGAAAGGGGGTCGGTACCGGTAATAGACATACCTCAGAAAAATTCTAAAATCTTTATTTAGCTATACAGATAACGATAAAGATAAGATAACGTAAATATTCAACTCACTCTTAGCAAAACTGTTAGTAGGAAGGTATGGAACGCACTGATTTCAAGAGCGCTATAGAAACAACAACGATAGGCATTTTAAAATGTTATTTTTTTCAACTTTGTGGGCATTGTTCTTCATTCTAGAAAAAAATTGATCCTTTAAATCAATAAGGAAGTCCAATATACATTTAGAGTCCAATCTGTCTATTACTAGGACACATGCCCATAACTGGTGCGTTCATTAGTTATTATTTTTCGAAAGATAAAAAAAATGGATTGTTAAAATATGATGAAAAATATAAAAAAGAAGTCTGCTTAAACTAAAAAGATGCAGAAATGTAGTGTGCAGTAGTTATTTCTAGCTCCAATAATACTCAGATCGTATATCCGACAGTAGTATCAAGACCTTATGACGTACCCCCTCCCTACTCTCCCCCATCTGTAATAACCTAATGGACAGCTATAATGGCCAGGTGGGTTGCTGCTACCAGACGTTTATTTCTTAAGACATCTGCACACCGTACACGGATCCCTTGTGTTTGATATGGTTACTATAGCGACTGGAGGGTGATAAAATATCATTTCCTGTATCGCCTGATTTCACAAGGATTGGATTACTCCCTGCCCTCGGGAAATCCCAAAATAGAGAAAAATGCTCATGACAGTTTGAATCGGCTATGTGAGTCTCATGTTGAAGTTGGACTTCCCACCAATCAGTGGCTTCATTACTCTATCGAATTCATTAAAACTTCTAATTAATTGCCCGACTAGATATGTACATTTTTCTCTCCTTCTTTTTTTTTTTACTTTTTTAAATTTTGTTTTGAACTTCTTCCTGCCTTAGTTAAGTTTAAAAGGAAGAGTGGTTCTGATTGGATTTTCTTATTAAACAAGTCTTGGTACACAACTTTGTAAGCAGGATAACTCTGAGAAATTGGGCCTTTTTTTTTCACTTAAAAGAGTTCACCACTCTGTCTTGGTTAAACTTTGACGGTTTAATTAATTGATGTATCGTTTGTTTGTTTTTTTTAAGTTTATCTTTTTTGTTCCTAAAATTCACACAGGATGTCAGAACGAACCAAAATAGGTACAAAAAAAATAAATAAAAAATAATAAATAAACTTACTTAGGCATGACCTAATATAATCAATCTCAATGTTATGTACTAAATCAGTTATTATAAATTAATCTTTAATAATTAATCATATAATAAGAAAAGACGTGAAAAGAGAGAGTAAAAGGTAATTTTCTGTACCTGAATGGTAGATTGTAAGACTTTTTTTTTAATTTAATAATTTTTCACTGGTTTTAGGACCAGTGTAGCGGTTGAGAGAATTCCTAAGGGGTCTCCTGGGGTCCTGTTTTTCCCTTAATAGTTTGAGGAACAAGTCTGCCTCGAAGTTCCCTCTCCTAATTGTAAATAGTGTATATATAGCTTGGTATGTATGTGTTTTTTTATTTAGTTCTCTTTAAGTTATTTTATTTTTTTTATTTATTGTACGTTTTGATTATTATTTAGTTGTTATTTTGCTCTTTTTTTTCTTTCTTTTTTTGTTCATATTGTGTGAATGTGATTTTACTTTCTTTTATATAACCAATGTTCAAGTGACAGATTGTTATATTATTTAATAAATTTAAAAAAAATAATTATTATTATTTTAAAAAGATGTTATTCAGTGAATGGAAAGGGAGAAAAGAGGAAAACGGAGTAAGTTATGATTGAAATATAGTGTTCTATACAATGGATAATAACCTAAACTAAAAACATAAACTTTCAACCATTGGAGTTCTATAAAATTTACTCTAGCGTTGCTAATAATGTTGAATTTGATCCATATTCTTAGCTAAGTTTATTAAAATAACTTTACTCACTTTTTTCTAAATCGAAAGTTCGAAAAAAACTAAATACATACACTTACCTATTCAAATCCATCTGGACATATGCCTCTCAGATTTACGGTTCGGCCAAAAAAAAAACCTACTTACATAAACTATAGTCATTTCAATCAAAATTTTTATGACATATAACAGGAGCTCCTTGGCACGTCAACAACAAAACTTTATATGACTTACCACAACCAACTATTGACCAACACATACGTATCCTCTACTCTCATTTTCATCTCAAAATACACGGACACACAAACGGACTTATAAACGACATGGAGACGAATGACATGCCCATCAGGAGGAGACTAAAAAGGAGCTGGATGAGAGATCTTCTCACCTAATTCAAGGAAGTAAATCCTCATGTCAATCTTTATCATCACAACACATCTGCTGATAGTCACGGTACTGACAGGTGCGGATAAATAGTTAAGAGAAAAAAACAAAAACGTTTATGCATTTATTCCTGCAAGTATTCGTTTTGTTGTAAAGTTACAAAATATATATATATATAACGCTAATATAGTTAAAGGTATAGGTATGTGTATGTGCTTATAACATATTGATATTAGACAAAAACTCTAATTCCTCAAGTAACGAGAAAATCGGCCAAGTACAGCCAATTTTTGAGGCGTTAAGTTAAAACTACAATACCAGGCGAGGCGAACAAAAATTGATCAGATAAGTTATCAGTTCGAGGGGGGGTAGGCGGTTGGGGAAGGGATGGGGGGGAGTGCTAAAGTGATTGATCAGAGCGGAACTAAAGACCGGGCCTCATGAATTATTTAAGCCCTTGGTAATCCTGATCTGTGAATATTTTCCCTTTCAATAAGCGCTCTTTTTTTTGTTTTATTATTTTTTTTTCGCCTGCCTCTCTTCAGAGGCTGTTTATAATATATACTTTACAGATATTAATATTCAAAGCCCCCGATAGAGGGCCGGGCGTTCATTAGGCGGACAGAATAGTGGCCGGGAATATGCAAATGTCACGTCCGCTGACTTGTAGCGGTCATAATATTCCAGAAATTTGAACCTTCCTCCTCATCGATTTAATGGCATAATAAAACTTTTAACATACATTAGCTGACTATAATTATTATATGAGGGTTCGAATAATAATTCGAGCTTAACCATCTGCTCCAAATAGATTCTTTTATTGCTGCCTCGTGGGTTTTTACTAATTGAATTCACACTTCCATATATTTTCATAATATCCTTACTAATTCTGAAAATGTATCAAAACCATCAAAGTTATCTTAAACCACTGCCAAGTGCTATGCAGCGGAAAATCGATTTCTAATTATCCCGTGGAAAAATAATTTATTTGAAACTGATCCCTTATAATATGAGACAGCATTAAAGGCCTTTATCTCAATTGTTTTGGAATTGAATTTAAATAAAAAAGAAAAATTGTGAATTTCCGTTAGTAATACACATAGCCACTGTTACTGCAATAATGTTTTTCAAAAAAAGTATGCAAGAATCGATATTTTTTCCCTCAATTTTTTTTTTGTCAATAAGATGTATTTGCGCCTGTCAACGTATTGTTGACAATCAGCAAATGTGATGGCGATACATGAGATAATGACATGACAGGCATGGGGTAGGAAAGTACTCAACAGTACCTCTTCCCTAACTTGTTCCAATTACTTAAGTTGCCTAAGGAAGGAGATCTCTCATCCGACGCCTTTTTAGTCTCCTCTTCATGTTCTGGGGTATGTCAGCTGTGTCCATGTCTCTTATTAGTCTGTTATTATTTAGATTTAAATTTGTGTAAAATCGTTGATATAGGGTCGTTATAAGTTGGTCAACTGTCGGAAAGTGGAGGTCAGTATGCAGAGTTTTGTTAGTCACGTACCAAGGTGCTTTTTTGTTATGGGTCGCAATAATTTTGATTGGAACGTTTGGAGTTTTTGTGGGTGGGTCTTTTTAGCAATGCCGTATATTTGTGATGAGTACGTCCATATGGGCTTAAGTAAGTATGTATACGTATCTCAAATTTTTAATTTATTATTTCTTATAAATTTGTTGTCAGAGTAACGAAAAGCAATAAAGAAATAGTCAAATACACATATCCTAGACTTTTTATAACTTTATTTCATTTTTTTTTTTTTTTTTTTTTACAAAAATGAAAAACATTATCTCCAATGTACATATTTATTTCGAAAAATGTCTTCACTTCGTTTTTATATTAAAGATATATTGATATTGATAAGGATATTAATTTAATAACGACTCTATACTAATATTTTAATTCTAAGGAAGGAAATCAAATATTTACCATGTTGGAGCCGATGAACCTTTATTCAATATCCTTTTCTTCTCCAACCTCGCCTTTTTTAATGGCTTGATTCTATTTCAAGCCCCAAAGGTGGAAAAGCCTTTTTAATGAAGGCAGCGGTAAAATATTCTGAGATAATAATTTGCGATCGTCCCTTCCCCCGGAAAACCTTAGCGACTTAATGATCTTGAATAACCCGGCAATCTTGTTGCAGACAAGCCGACGGCTGGTCCCAAGATCTCCGGCCAGAAGGAGCAGTACCTCATCGGGGACGAAGTGAACCTCAACTGCACTTCGGCCGAGTCTTACCCCGCTGCCCATCTCACCTGGCACATCAACGACAAGCAGGTATGCCATCAAGTCCTTAGGTTATTATTGTCCCGCAGCTTCTACTGGTCTTGATGACCAAGCTGAGGTTGGACCTAGATTGCAGGGTGGTAATGTTGTTAGTTTGATTGAACAATCACTATATATTTGTAGCATATTTTAAATTTGATATTTTTGGTATTTTAGTGGAGTGTGAATTAGTTGATATTTTCTGTTGCAATTCAATTGTATAAATCATATTCTTTTAAAAAAGAACATATGTTTTTATTAGCATGTATGTAAACAAGTTTTTGGTGGAGTTAATAAATGAATTAAAACATTTATTTAGATTTATATGTTAAGGATATAATAGTGACGCTGCGGACATATGAAAAGAATGTATATAGCCTCGAAAAAGAAACTTAAACATCGCAGACACGAAAGATTTAACAGAAAAAGAAAATTTTTCAATACAAAAATTTAATTTTCCATCGTTCGATCCAGAAGAAGATGATTGGGAATATTACGAAGAACGATTTACGATCGAACTGCGAGTTCGCTGGGTCACGTCACGTGAGAGTAAAAGGGATCTCTTGCTGGCCAATATAGGACCCAAGTCGTTCAAAATACTTTTCGATCACTCTAAATTTGATATTTTGAGTGTTAAAGGGAGTGTAAATTAGTTCATATTTTCTGTTGCAATTTAATTGTCTTAATCTTATTGTTTTAAAAAGAACATATGTTTTTATTAGTATGTATGTAAACAGGTTTTTGGTTGATTTAATAAATTAATTAAAACATTTATTTTGATTTATATGTTAAGAATATAATAGTATCTATGTTATATACATACATACATACATACGTACATACATATATATATATATATATATATATATATATATATATATATATATATATATATAATTTTAATATGTTTTTTTTTCATAGACCCTTTTTTATTTGTTTTTGTCTTGAATCCTTAGATTTTCATTGTCTTCATAATAGTCCTTTTACTGCTAAAAAAGATTGTAAGATGTATTTTGATTTTGATTGTTGATTGTTGTCGTTTCTGAGCATTTTTTTTTTCCACATCTGTAATATAATCGGGGATGGGGATCACTTCAGGCTTGAGTTGACCTTATCCTCTAGAGCTTACAACTAAATTAATAAAACACTTATCTTATGTGAGTTGATGCCAACGTTTTGGAATTTTGGGTGGTAATAAGTTGTTGAAAAAGAATTTGCCAACTGTTTTGAGACTTATGAGACTTTTGGAAAACTGTTTTTTTTTTGTTTAGCGAGAAATTCTTTTACTGTTGCTAAATTTATTGTATATCCAATGTCTTCATTCTTTGCATCGTGGTTCCTCTTACTTTTTTTCGGATTATTTCTTTTTGGAAATATTGTAATCTTTCCCCAGTTTTTTTTTGTTTTCATCGACACTTTAATATTATATTGTGAAATAATTATTATTTTCGGGAGTTACATCATTTACAATTTAAACAAACTACATAAATTTGGACTTTAGAATAGGATCCTCTTCGGAGCTGTAAAAAACAAATAGGCATCATCGACACAAAAAAGTTCCTATATGCCGTAACTAACAATTTTTAATTTCTTCCTAACTTCTTATTGAGCTTCGATACTCCAAGGGGCACACCGACAGCCTCAGTACCACCCTCCAGTACGTGTATCAAGCCACTTGGCCACTAAGTGCGTTGTTTTTTTCCAGCTCTGAAGAGGATCCCATTCTATGTACAAGAAAATAAGAGACCGAAGCGTTAAAAAATAAAATTAATATACTCCAAATTTATGTAGTTTATTATAATTGTTAATGACCTAACTCCCGAAAATAATAATTATTTCACAATATATGTATGTATGTATATGTCACTCAAGCCTTAGGTGAGCCCCATCACCTTTTATTTTACAGATCCAGAAAAAATATTCAGAAACGACAAAAAATACACCTTACAGTGCTTTTAAGTACTAATAGAACTATTATGAAAATAATGAAAATCCAAGGATTCAAGACAAAATAAATAAAAAGGGGCTATGAAAAAAAAAGAATATATATATATATATATATATAGCAAAATCAACAGCAAATAACTATTGAGCTACATTAATTTTGATATTTTGAATCAATTACACCTTGAATCATTAGAAAAATAAACCTAGTCATTATCCATACCTATAGATGTTCTCTCAGAATAAATTATAGAATAAAATAATAAAGGCTTTTTAGCTTATAATATGAGAACGACGATTCTACGAATCAAAAATTATAATAAAAAAAAAAAAAATTATTCAACAACCTTTAGAAGTTTTTTTCTGGAATACTCTTTTGTTAAAAATAAAATACTGATTGTAGCGGCATTCAGTTTTCTACAAATATTTAACCAATCGTCCAATAATCCTTAATGTTTCTGATTGAATTTATAGAATAGAATAGAATGGAAAAGTAATTTTATTCTGGGACGAAGTCCCTTCAGAATAACAAAAAAGTACAGAAATTAAAATTTTACATTTGGCCAGATAAAAACAAACATAACAAATTAAGATTAAGATAGGCCATTAAAAAAAAGAAAAGAAAAAAAATATTGGTTATACATAATATATACAAAATAAAATAAAAAAATCGATATGAAAAACTCTTGAAACCATACTAAGATACTTAAAACTATTTACAATGTTAAAATATAAATAAACCCTTTTAGAAAAAATAAAAAATACAGAAAAAATAAATGTATATTCTTCTTAACAGTAAAATCTGTTTCTGTTGAAAAAAAAGAAAGTCGAATCTATAATAAGTATTTAGGTATGAGCTGCATGTGAATATGGTCTTGTAGATAATATGTAATTTTACATAAAAGGTTAGCTGGTGCCTGACTGTTTTTGGGACAGGAATTGGAATAGGAGGGTTTTGAATGTAGATAAGGATGAAGAATGTCGAATTTTGATAGGAAGGGAATTCCAGAAACTAACAGAACGTATAATAAAGGAGTTTTGGAACGAGGCAGATCTGTGAGAAGGAATGTAAAGATCGGAAGGTCGAGATCTTGTGGAGAGGGAGTGGACTGAGGTCTTGAATTGGAGAAGGTTGTAGGCGTAGGAAGGACGATGATTGTTGATGATATGATGGAGGAATGTACCTAGGAAATATTGTCTTCGAATGGAGGAGAAGAGCCACTCTAACTCAGTGTAGTGGTGAGAGACATGGTAGTATCTCGGGGCACCAATTACAAATCTCACGCAACGGTTCATTATTCTTTTCGATCTGTCGCGGAGCTCCACCTAGAGTCCATCATACATATACAATATTGTATTGTTTTATTCCTTATTTTTTTTTTAATTTTTCAATAAACTAATCGTGATTTTAAGTGTTAGCTTAGAAAAACGTTGGTAAGTTCTAAACTTATACAATTATAGTCAATCCTAAAATTATTATAAAATATATTCCTTATTGATAATAAGGAGATAAAACCTCTACACTATAGGCTGGAAGGTAATGAAGTCAGGATCATGAGCCTGGGATCATTATGATGGTATCGGGTGGACCGATGATGTTACGATCAGACACCGCCATTATTAGGGCTATAATGAGACCACGATTAATTCCCTCCTGCGATTTTCCCTTAATTCAATCTAGAGGAGGTAGCTCTGGGGTTGCAAGCAACACCTTGTACAATCAGGCAAGGCTCACTTAATCAGACAATAAGAGCTATAATTTGGTCGTAAATAAAAGGTTTTTATCATTCCTCCATTTTTCTACCACAGTCCAATCAATTTTATGTCTGCATCGTAGAATCCAGAAGAGTTATGAAAGAGAAAATTATCAATAACTTATTGGTTTGGACGCTTATAAGTTCGAATAAATGCTGAATAATTAACAGTTGAACCTGTATATTTTAAGTGCTAGTTAAATGTTATCTTTCTTTTGTGTCTCATTTCTCCTGAAAATAATAGACTTTTGCACTGCATCAAAAAACGTCAGAGATAGAGAGGGGCCTATTTTAAACTTTATAATCGAATTTAAACACGCCAACAGTTGAAGACCATACACGGACATACTACAAAGAACTTACATGGACATACAAACACACTGATACAACACATGACAACGATTAACCTGCCCAAAGACACGTTTCGAATGCTTACAAGAAGCTTTATGAGGGATTTCCTCACCTAAAAATATACTACAATCAAGTCAAGAATGAATACCGCTGGGCACTCCTTTTCCTCACGCAGATCAAGAAACTATCAGTATTATTCCCGATAGCAAGCTCCCTAAATATTATTACCTCTAACAGGTGTCGGTAAAGAAATAAAGTTTAAAAGAATAAAATAAAGAAATGAGATTTAAGATTTAAGTTTATTGACAGGTTCAGATAAATATCTGAAGATAAAAAATTTAAATCTATTTCATCAAAACCTAAAGAATACGATTTGACGGGTTCCAGTGATGAAAAATATATTTATAAACCAGTCTCTCTAAGTACAGTTGAATATTTGTATGTAGATCAAGTAGGTGTTATAAATAAGTCCCTCTATATTGTCTTGACTTCCTTCTCTCTCAACCGTTTCACAATGTTTTTAAATATCAGCGGTACAATTGATTTGAAAAATATATTTAATTTTTAAGATAAACAATAATAAAACAATAAAATCGTTAATTTCATTTTGTTTGCATTCGAAACAAAAATGAAGGAAAAATACGTATATAGTGACATAGTTTTTATCTCTATATTTATATTCAATACATCATATTTATTTTAATCTACAATTTATTTAATTGATCTCACAAGAAAGTTAGGACCAATAATGTTTGCATGTTACTATTTGAATATTAAAGAAATTTAAAAATACATACATATAGATTCCAAAAAATGTATAAGTTATAAAGAACCAGAAGTCAATAAATTATTACATTAATTATTATAAAGATAATCCAAATTAAAAAATAAAATATCTTATTTTAAATACACGACTGTATTACGAACAGCAGAAAAATACTGAGAACATCTTTATTGAAAAAA